ACGAGTGAAAAAACTTCAACCTTCAACGGGTCGCTGATTTTTTGTGCCCGCGAAGACCCAAGCGGTCCTGCCTGCTAAGCTCCAACTCGAGTTGGCTCTTCCCATCACGCGCGGTGGCATTGTAGTTTTGCATCGTGGCAAGCAAGGATGCTTGCAATTCCGAGTTTTTCCAATCTCGCCTGAACTGCCCACCACGCTCGTACGAAGTAAGCGTTGCATTGTATCCCACAGTGTCTGGCACGATCTTGGAGTCCAGCATGGCATCAAACAGTTGCGAAGCTTGCTGCCATCTAGCTGCTCGCTCGCAGCAACTGATTGCAGCACTGTAAGTTATAGCGTTTGGAGTGATTTTGGCAGTGGGCAATCCTGCAAACAGCTCAATCGCTTGTTGCCATTGCGTTCCACGCTCGCAGCATGCAAGCGTTGATGAATAGCTGATCACATCCGGTGAGATTTGCAAAAGGGGCATCTCCTCAAATATCCGCAGTGCCAGGTGCCATTGGCGGCCCTTCTCGCAGGAACTAATTGCGGCGTTGTAGCTTACCACGTTTTGTGCAATTCTGGCCTGAGGCATGGCATCAAAAATCTCCAGCGCAAGCTGCCACCGAGCCCCACGCTCACAGGAAGTTATCGTCGCACTGTAACTGATGACATTTGGCGCAACTGTCGCCCCTTGCATGTCGGAAAAAAGTTGCAGAGCCAGCTGCCACTCGCCGCCTTTCTCACATGCACTAATTGCCGCGCTGTAGCTGATGACGTTTGGAGGGACTTGGGCCTCTGGCATACTGTTCAACAGCTGCAAAGCAGTCTGCCATTGCTCGCCCTTCTCGCAGGAGCTGATGGTTGCACTATAGCTGATGACATCTGCCTTGATGTGCGACGAATTCATGTTATCAAAAAGGGATAAAGCTAGCTGCCATTGCCCAGCCTTTTCACAGGCACTGATTACAGCACTGTAGCTTATCACATCGGGCAGCATCTTTGCAGCGGGCATGGCTACAAAGTGACTGAGAGCCAGTGGCCATAATCCTGCCTTTTCCAGAGAGCTCAGTGTGGAATTATGGCTCACGATGTCAGGTGTTATCTTAGCTCGAGGCATGGACTGGTAAAGCTCAAAGGCTAGCTGCCACTCACCGGCCTTCTCACAACAACTGATGACAGCACCGAAACTTCTCAGGTCTGGTGAGACCTCTGCTTCAGGCAGTGAATGGAACAGCTGCAATGCCAACTCCCATTGACCACCACGTCTGCAGGAGTTGATTGCAGCGCTGTATGTAACGATGTTCGGCAGGAGCCCTCTTTCAAGTACAAGGTCAAACAGCCTCAGGGCTTTCTGCCACTGACTGGATTTCTGGCATGAGCTGATGGCAGCGGTATAGCTGACGACATCAGCTTGGATCTTCGCAATCGGCATGGAAGATAGCAACTCCAACGCATATTTCCACTGCCGGGACTGCACAGCGGTACTGATACCAATATTGAAATGATTGCGCGTGAGCTCAACCAACCAATCTTCTTGAATTGCTCGCAGTATTTCGAAGATGACGTCTGCTCTTCCTTCAAGCTTCAGCTCTCTCAGAAGAATACTGATGGCATTCGGGGTCCGTCTCCAAGAAGCGAGCTGTGGCGATATGAGCTGCCGCAGGTGGGATGGCTGCAAGACCTTGATGTTCAACAGATGCTCCACCAACTCAGATCGACGAGTCTTTTTCAAGGCAGGCAGGCAAAGTCGCGAGGTGTAAAGGAAACGCTTGTACATATGGCAGTGTGGAAGAGGAGATCGCGAATTGGGTGGGCTGATGATTTGATGTTGAAAGGCTTGCCTGCACAGAGGGTTTTACAGCAACTTGCAGCCTCGACTCAGATGCATTTGATTGCTCTGTATCTAGCTCAACACCGCCCGCTGCAGCACACTATGCAACACTGAAACGCGCCTGTATTCCTGAGACACATCCCTTCCTCCAAGCCATAGATCTAATTTGAGCTCCTGGCCTTTTTCTCACATCCTGGCAGACTGCATTTCGCAAGCATATTGGCAGGATGCATGCCCGAGTCTGACGATGTGCGGCCCCACGAAGTCTTCACACAAATTGCGCAGCTGGCTTGCCAGGCGCCGACAATGACGGCTACCGCCACTGCCAGCGTTAGTGTTCGCACACTAGAACAAACAACAACAGCAGCAAGAGGCAACACAGCCACCATGCAAAAGAAACCGGTGCAATCTGTGCGGCTTGCATTACTTGAGCTGGACTGTCCAACGTACGCTGCGTCGTGCACTAGCTGACCCTGTCCTTGATCAAGTCCAAATAGGCGTTTGGCAAGGAGATGAAAGGGAACTCCGTGATCTCGTCGAACGCGCTGGGACGGTGCGCCTCTGCGGTACAGGGACACCGTGGTCGGTCCAAGCCTTCTTCAACTTCTCAGGTCTCAAGCCATGTAAGAAGGAAACTTCACTCTCTCTTGCTCCGGGCCTGCAGAGGCTCGGGGAATTGCTCTGAAGGTACCTTGATTGATGTTCTCTTTGCACACTGTCCGTGAGGCTAGTGTGCATGCGCTCTGCAGGGTGCTTCTGCCGGCCTACTTGGAGACAAACAGGCAGAAGACTTTCGTGCACTGCCATCTGAATAACCTCTGCTTGTATGTCTGGGAAACTTTTTTTTTGCGAGGCATCTGGCCGCTTCCAAATCATTGCTACACAGACAAGCACCCACGTGAATGTAGTTATTCGTCCAATTCATGTCCGGCGCACCGCACGAAAGTCAAAGGATCCCGCGAGGCCCGGCAGCCTCAAGCAAGACGATGTTTGCAACTACGTGAACCGTGAACCAGAGCCAGGTTTGCCTAGCCAGGAAGATTCCTCATCAGCAGTTTTAAAACTCCCGAGAGCTGCTTTGCTGATTAAGCCGTAAGCAGTGATTGGTCAACAGGGGCCTCACAACAGAGTAAGCAAGCAGGTAGCAGCAGGTGTTGTAAGGTTGCATTAGGTTTTGGTTGGCCAAGTGTTGTTGGCAAATGGAAAACCCAGAGCCTCAGCATCGCTGCCAGGACAGCAATAGACTCTGACTTGTCGCTTTCCAAGTAGGAGAGCCTGCCATCTTCCGTACTGGACTGGGCAGTCACTGGTTCGTAGAAGTACGCTAAATCTTCCACGCAAGTTCGCTGAACTATCCATTTGATTTTCCATTATAGTAGTTTCCATTTGATTTTCCATTATCCCTATATAGCCCTAATATAAGCCCTATATATACCCCATAATAATCCCAGTTTCCGTTTCATTTTCCATTTTTCTTTTCCACTTGATTCTCCATTATACTAGTTTCCATTTTCTCTTCCATTATCCCTATATAACCCCTATATAACCCTATCATCCCTATATATATATATATCTATAACCCCAATATGACCTAATATAACTCCTATATAAACCCTATGATCCCTATAGTTTCCAATTTCTTTTCCATTATCCCAATATAACCCTATCATCCCTATATATATATATACATATTTTAGTAACATTAATATTAATAATATGAATATTATTACTAACATTAATATTATTAATATTATATATCTCGTGGACTAAAGCTCGCCACTCTACGTAGAGCACATCGCACAACATCCTTCCGGGCACTTTTGAGCGCAGTGTTGCCTGTTTCTCTCCTGTGCCGGGAAGCGCCATATCGCCGCACATATCCACCTGAACTTGCTTGTCTGGGCTAGATTGGCATTCTGAGGTCCTCTGGAACATTCTGAACCGTTTCACGCATCCTCACTGAGCCCCGAATGAACTTTCAGCTCATTTCAGCTCGCTTCGGGCTCCCCGGCGCCGCAAATGTCAGAAATTCCTGCACATTGCGCCGCACCTGCGTGTAGCAAGCACATGAAGCATGGCAAAAAGAACACTGAAGACACTCCCCGTGCAAGTCTGGCCTCCTCTTCCTTCGTGTCCGACTGGCCTGTACATCAGCAAAGTAGTCTCTCATCTGAAGGCTTTGTCAGCAGCGGACACTGGTTTGGATCTATTGCAGTCATGGTAAGGAGGCAGTGCTCCCAGTCCCAGTTCTCCTCCATTTGGGTTGGCCACTTGCCCTGCAGAGACCTGCGGCGGGTATGAGGCTTCTGTTTTCTCGGTCTCGCAGCCACACTCCGGTGCAGATACTGGAACGCTTGTCTGATGTATGTTTCGGATGCAATCTGATGCAACTGCTCCCACCTTGACAAGGAGGAGCACGAGCTCCGCAAACGCGCTTTGCGGCAGCCCGTCCTAGAAAAGTTTCCAGGGAGGTGCCAATACTTGCGGCTCTTATTCAGCGCAATGCAAGAAGGCAAGCCATGCCAAAGATCGTAGAATGATCGCAGTGCCCGGTTGGTTGCCTCATCGCCGAGCTTCGTCGCAACGAGATCCACCAAAGCAGCCTGCGTTAATGAGCTGCAGTTTCAGCTGCTTCCTGAGAAATTACAAAACAGCATGTGGCACGAGTACTCACATATGAAATGTGACAGAACACAGAGGCAAACAATGCTCCAAGTTGCGGTGATACGCTGCTTCAACATATTCAACACGTACCTGCGTGCCTTCTGAGACGGAGCTTTGTCACATTCAGCATGAACATTGATTTGCGGGCACTTGAAGCTAGGCCTGCCCGGTGCAGCGTTTTTTTGACCGTGCCGCCTCTGAAGTTCCGCCATCTTGCGCAAGGCGCAAGCGAGAGTGCTTACCTGGAGCCACGCTGCCCTTGCACTACTTGGCCAGCAAGATGCTGTGGCCCTGGTACAACGCTACAGTACCAGCAAGATGCTGTCCTGGCTTCTTGGTTTCCCGTGCAGCCCGGGCAACATCTCAGCCATTAAATCTTCGAGATCAACTCAAGCGCGAGGGAAATCGACAAACAGTGGTGTTACGGTGCCACCGCTGGGGCCCGCTGCATGAAGCCATGTGACTGCTTCAAGATTCCGTAGAGAGACGTTCATGTTCTCCTCCGAGAGCAGCTCTACAAACTTTACAAAGCCTTCCTTTCCTTTTCATTCTTCGAGGCTGACGAGGTTGAAGCTGGCCACCTGGTCCAGAGCCACACATCAGCGCACTTGACCTCGAAAAACTCGTCTAAAAGGAATCCCCTAATAAACTTTAACCCCTAAGAAACCCTAGGCTCCAAGTGAAAAGTCTCAATATGGTCAGAGCAGCGAAAGCGTGGCGAACTCCGGAAATTACTGGACGGCCAGCATGCGCAATGCTACCTGCAAAGCAAAATCTGTGTGTGACCGATGAGACCCCCGTACCCCTTCGGACTGGCATGAACAGAACGGACACAAGGTGTTTTGTACTGTCAACACAAGGAGATACCACTGGATGACAAGTCCGGACCAGCATCATTAATGATTCGAAGCTGCCGTTGAAAAGGATTGCTGTGCCCTGTCGCGGTCGCAGAACTGCTGCATCGCCTGGGTTTTGCGAAAGCCGGTACACCAATCACGTTGTACATCCCGACATGCTACTTGTAGGCTACTGTGTATGTCAACGCTTCTCAGAGCTCTTGCAGGTCCTATGCTTTCTTGAACGTGTTAGGCGAACATGTCATCTGTCTGAAGCCCTTTTGAAAAAGCACTGCAAAACCTTTTCTTCGAGGCTGATTTGGTCAGGGCGCGCATGTCAAACTTCTCAGCACATGCCTGACGCAGATTCTGAAGCGAATGTTGTGATAGCCTCGCAGCATGCCCTGCAATGCCTTCCAGTGCCTCATCTTGCTCACTCATCTGTGTGGATATGTCAAGGCAACTGCGAGCCTCATCCGTCTCGCCCTCCACCTGCGCCAGCTTGTGCAGGAACACAAGGTCATGTTCAAACAGTCACCCTTGAAAGCTGCACATGCATACACATGTCTGCTTGAAAGATCTCGAAAGTGAGACGCTTGCTCCCACGGCCGTTCAAGTAACACATCTCTTCACTTCGGGGATTGGCTTGGCAACCTCGCCATACGTCTCAATCTACAGGAAGGCTGCAAAGCAAAAAGCACACCTGATTCAACAGCGCTGCATCCTCCCACATCCAGCCGGGCTGAGCCCAGAAACACTGAGTGCTTCGGTGCCTTTTCCTGGGGCCAGAAAGCCGTACCGCCGCCAGCAAAGGCACCGGGCTCGGAGAGGACCACATTCAGGGTCACTGCCTCCTTGAAAAAATCTAATTTGCAAAGGTGCTGGCGCAGTCTCTCTCAAGGACTGAGATCACCAGGATGGTGGTGATTTTTGCTAGGAACATCATGTGGAGATGTTTGAAAGATTGAAGTGTGGTTCAGGTTTCGGCTTTGGGACATCTGGCATATCCCGACATGAGGCCAAGTCACCCTGTCTATGTGAGGTGCAATGCCTCCTCCTGTCATGTACCTGAAATGCACAGCTCGTGAACTCAACTAGGACCAGTGAACAGCGTGCTACTCGTTGCTCGTCTGCGGGGCGAAACAAGTTGCAGTTGTAAAGACTCGGGCATAAGGTTTCAAGGGGCATCCTGATGGCTGCGAAAGTGACCGCCAAGCAGATGGGAGTGCAGCACCCTCATCGACCCAGAGAATATCGTGCAACCATCAATGGCAAGCCACCGATTTACCGCCGGCTCGCCCGGTGAGAAGAAGGGCTTCAATTCCTTAGAAGGCGCTGACATCAGCACTGTTTCAGCATGTCTCAGCCCTGGCCATGCGCTTTGCTGGGTTCGCTCCAAGAGCCACACATGAAGGCGCTCGCTGCGCCCAAAGAGCTCCATAGCAACATCCGGCAGCCTCAGCTCAAAGCCAAAAGGATTGACAGGTCTCTGCCTTGCAAACTCTCCAGAAAGATTTGCAGTTGAAAGTGCCGTTGCGCAGTGCTTCTGCCATCTTCAAAGCTGAAACAAGGCTAGGAGAAGCTGGGCCACTCCCGCTCCAGAAGGGGCACCAGTCCTTGGCACGCTGGCTATTGCGACGGCACGGCTCGCTACATCCCATTAGAGAGGCCCTTTCCATTGCCTTGTGGCAGCGAGAAACTAGACGCACCAAATAGGATGTCAGAGATTTCTAGCGCAATGCCTTCTGGTAGCGTGCGATTTGTCCAGGTGGCAGTCACCGCATGAAGTGCCTATCTTGGCTGAGCGTCTCTCATTGAAGACAGAACCTTGGAGGTTGAACACAGAATCTCCAATCATCTACGTCTTAAACACACAAGATGCTGAATCTATGCCTGGCAACTGGAGAGCATCTGTGCTTCAAGATCTAGTTTTCGCAGCGGATATCCTTGGCCAAGTGCCACTGGCACAACCCACGACAACCCAAGCCAGCCGTGCAATCCTCACAGATCATTTTCACCCACCATCGCAGCCGCTTCACCTCTGGCTACAGGCCTTCACAAGCATGCAGTTGGAAAAGCCAGCCAGATCTGGCTGTTACAAAGAGGAAATGATCTCCTCTTCTTCCTCGTCCTCCTCAAGTCGAACTTCCCGCCTACTTTGAGGCGAGTCCGTAAGCGTTATTTTTCGAAGCGTGGGAAAGCCTTCACTAGGCGCCTCCTCCAAGCTTTCAAGCGGTAGCTTCTCCGAGGTCTCGCACGTGTTGCAGGATTGGCCGCCTTCTCGCTTGCGGTAGCCGCAGCAAGCCACCAGCCCCTGGAAATAGAAGGGCCAGTTGACCAAAAGCATGCCACACAAACCACCTGTCGGCAGGTACAGGGAACAGCTTGCACGTCAAAAAACGGTAGGGTGCTCTCAATCCGCTCTCAACAACAATAACTAAAGGTTCCCAGGCCTGCTAGAAATGGCAGGGCAAGGCTGAAGAGGACAGCCATGAACACAAGGCAAGCCCTGTCGCAACTCGTGAATCCTGAACTAGGCCAACTCAATTTCAAGGTTCCATGACCATGCTCTCTTAGGGGCAAAAGCCCAGAGAAGATGATAAATTGAGAACGACCTTACTTGTGTACCTCTCTTCATCCCGCCCATGATCTGAACCAGCGGCTGTCAGTCTTGCGGCAGATGTCTTTGATCGCCATCGATATAAGGAAGATAAATATGGAGAAAGCAACGTAACCGGCCTCGGGTAACAAGCGCAAGCTGGCATGTCACTCAATGCAATTAGCAGCGTCGCAGGGTGCGGGCACCATCATCACCGAGCGGCGCTCAGCGACAGGATGATGAAACGAGACTGCTCGTCTCGCAGTGCATGCAGCTCCGCCAGTAAGAAGCCCACCAGAAGCGGGTCCTGAATCCACTCCATCACGCAGCTAGCCCTGGTGGCCCCGAAACCTGACCATAGCTACGCAGATGACGCATCAAGAAAAGGCAGCGTTGAATATCATGCACATGTCTAGAACCCGTGACTGCGCATGCAATGTGTTTCGTGGCCGCGCCACCAATATAGGGGTAAATACCTACCTCTTGGGCAGCTCTTGAACCAACAAAACATCTGCTGTACGTTTGCACGAACATGGTTCCACTGACCTCGCGCGACAACCTTCTGAATAGTTCTTGGTCTAAGAACCTGAAATGCGCTGCCATATGTTTCAGGCGCAGCGGCTTCGCTTTGAACTCCATCCTTGAAAATTGATTGCACTGGGTTCCGAAGCATCTGTCTGTAAGGCAGATGGCGCAGGAATCCAAACTGCTCAATGGCTTCGATGAAAACAGGTGTGCAACGAAGTTATTCACTGCAGGAGACCTTTGGAGGAATGACGGATTGGTCTTGTCTGAAAGTTCTTACGCGGCAAGCAGGACCATCAACTCCATGCTTTCCGTAAGCAAGGCATCTGACATTGGCAGAAGAGGTCCAGGTTGGCAACTATGCTCACAGGATAGGATCCACTTCTCATAGCTCACGACATTGGGCAGGAGCTTGGCCATTGACATGATCTGGCAAAACTGAAGAGCAAGCTGCCACTGCTGGCTTTTATCCAACGAAATGATGCATGCATTACAGCTTACGACATCTGCAAGGACCCCTGCCATTGGCATAGCATGAAAGAGGCTTAGAGCCATCTCCCATTGGCTGCTTTTTTCGCAAGCGCCAATGCAGATGTTGTAGGTGATAATGTCAGGAACACTCTTGGCGTCAAGCATGCAGTCTAGAAGCATAAGTGATTGGGTCCACTGTAAACTCCTCTCCAATGAGCCCATGCAGGCATTGTAGCTGACCACGTTCGGCCGGATGATGGCAAAAGTCATCAGCTCCAGGAGGCCGACCGCGAGCTGCCATTGACCCTCTACATCACATGCACTCATGCATGCATTGTATATGATTCTGTCGGGCCTGGTTCCAGCATCCAACATAGTGCACAAAAGGCTCAGCGCCAGCTGCCACTCGTTAGCTTTGGCACAGCAACTGATGCAGGCACCGAAGCTAATCACATTTGGCGTCACGTTTTCGAGAAGCATTACGTCCAGGAGCTGAAGTGCCAGCTGCCACTGCCCATCCGCTTCGCAAGAGCTGATGCATGCGCTGTAAGCGATCACTGCATCAGGCATCTTCAACGTGCTCATGATCTGAAGGAAGTGCAAAGCCAGTTGCCATTTGCTGCCATTTTGGAAGGCGCTTATACATGCGTTGTAAGTTGCAGCAGTCGGTGCAGTACTTTTTCTGCGAGCAGATGTGAAATGCTGCAGGGCCGTCTGCCATTGCGAATGCTTCCCACAGGCATTGATGCATGCGTTGCTGCTCAGCGTATTAAGTTTGACCTCATTGCATAGCATGCCTGCAAACACACAGAGGGCCATCGACCATCGCTGACGCTTTTCCAAATAGCTGATGGATGAGCTGCAAGTGACAGCAGTGGGTGTGATCCTGTTACTAGACATGCATCTGAAAAGTTGCAGAGGCAGCTGCCATGGTCCGGTCGGACTTGGTGAGCTCATGCACGAATTGATGCTGAAAGCATCTGGCTCCAGAGTAAGCTGCGGTATAAGGTGAACTGTTTGCAGCGCTGACTGCCAATGAAGGCCTTGCACGCAAGCACCCGCACATGTGTTGCAGGTGATAACATCTTTGATGATCCGGCCTTTGCACATGTCCCTGGAGAGTTGCCAAGCCACATGCCATTGATCTCCGAGAGCAAGGCAGCTGTTGTAGCTGACAGTTTGGATACGCATCCCGGCGGTCGACATAGACGAGAGTAGCTCCAAACAATTCCGCCACAATGCTGCTTTGGCGCAAGCGCTGATCGCGGCATCGAAGTGGTGAGGGATTGGCGTACCAGCATCCCTGACCACGGCCAGAGCAGAGAGCACCAAATCTACCCGCTTCTCGGACTTCAACTCTTGGAGCACGCGGGCAATGGCCCCTGGTTTCTTGTGCAAATCCTTTGCTGTGAGGAGCGCCTTCACGCTTGCTTGGGGTGGATACTGGCTGAGCTGGAGCAGGGATCTCGCAACGGCAGACGCCTGCCCATCCAAGCTCGCCATGCACAAACGGCCGTCGAACACGGCGGCCAAAGGGCTGCGGAGATTGAGGGCATGTAACATCCAAGCGTTCTAAACGAGACTATAAGAGCTCTGCTGAAAGACTGGCAACAATGTACGACCGCCACCTAGCCCTAAAAAACTGCCCAGGCATTGACCTTAATCTGGAGCGTGACCTGCATCTGCAGCGTGAACACACGGAATATACTTCAGCCAGGAAACGGTTCATGCTGCCCTGGTATGCATAGAATTTGCCGGTGCTGGTGCCCACAGAAGCGGAACGGTCAGCAGCGTCCATCAGGATGTGACACTCCTTTGCTCACTGCTACGCCTGCTGAAGCTGCTGAAGCTGCTTTCAACCCGTATTTGATCGCCATCTCTTCCCAGGCACCTCACGTTTCAAGAAATCAGGAATGATCCTTGGATGCGACAGCTTGCGAAGTGTCTGCTCCGGGTCAACATGTCGAACATGTCTGGGGCAGTTCGGACTTAGTTGACTGCTAACGTTTCCTGATACTCGCAGCTTCGCAGATGCCTTGCTTTCTATCGCCTGCATATGATGTCCCATTTGCCGCCGAGAGTCACAATACCTCAAGTACCGCAAGGGCACTCAAATGCAAATGTTAAGACGTCGAATCATGCCAGATTGCTAGCAAGAATACCTCACTAAGTTTGCTGACTCCCCGGCAAAGCATGTACCATTCCCAGGTACTGTTCCACAGAAAGCGTCGGCTGGTTGGCGCTAGCTTTAGCTCGACAACATGGTCCGGCACCTAAGAACAAAGCACTTTCTGACAAGCCAGTGTGTGCGAGGACTTCCTGTGTTGTGAGGTTGAATTCCCTTCTGAAACACATCCATCTTAAGATCGTTCACAACACCTGAAATTCAACAAATGCCTAAAAGCAAATACAAACTTCATTAAAAAAAGAAAAATGATTCCATGGAACTAGAAAGCTAGAACCACAAATCTTGTGTTTCAGCAAAATAAAAAATAGAACACAATATAGAGCACCACATCTTGGGGGTTATCAAAATAGAAAAATAGAAAACAACAAAGATCAACACATCTTGGGTTTCATCAAAATAGGAAAATAGAAAACACACTAGAGCACCAAATCTTGGGCTTCATCAAAATCGAAAAATGGAAACAAAATAGACAGAGACATGGATCTTTATTACATTTGATGAAAATTAGAAAAGGAAAAAGTGGTTCTAGCATATTTCTATG